GTGAACTATGATCGGCGTGAATACCACATAAGCGATCTGCTTCTTGACCCAAAATTGAAACTTTATCTTCTAAAGCTGCTAAATCTCTTTCAACACCTTCATGTTTTCTCTAAAATAAGAAAAGGTCATATAATTATTGTTTATAAAATTAACTGTAAATAATTGAGAACTATAGATTAAAAATTTAAATACAATATTACTAAAATTATAAGAAAATGTTAAAAATCAAATAAAACAAAAAATAATGTATGCTTTGTACATCACAAAAGACATTGATATGTTACAGGTTTAACATTTTTATTGTATATCAACCTAAAGCTGGTCTCAAACTACACTATGTCATTTACATGTATTTATTTACAAGTAACATGTTACATAGAAGCCAAATATATTTAAATCTAAACAACATATTATGGTGTGAAACTGGCTGTATTATACCTACTACGGTCGACTCTCAATAATTCGAAACTTTTGGTAATTAGTAGTAAATGCTCGGTCCCTTGATAATCACGCGATAATTCGAATAAACCAATAAATTTAAGTACACTCGGTAATTCGAAATTAAATTTCGGAAAACTGGAGACTAACATGTGACAAAGTAAATTCACCAAATTAAAAAAATTATGAAAAAATGAAACAAAATTCAATGAAGTAAAATACCATTACAGATTTTTTCAAAAAATAATAATATTTTACTATAATAATTTAATTTACATAGTAAAATTATTAGGTATATAATTTAATTTACAATTTAAAAGCAATATATAAATCTAATATGTGCCACCTGATTTTCTGGAATAATTAATAATTACCTATTTACAAAACTAAAACAGACTAATTCGAAGTTTTTCAACAGTCCCATCAAATTTGAATTACCGAAAATCTACTGTATTTAAAATAATGTAACAATATTAATTATATTTTTATAACAAACCTGAAGTGTTTGTACACTAGCTAAATCTCTTCCATAGTCTTCTGAAGACAATATACCATCTTTTTCAGATATCCAAGCTACAGTTTCATCAGCATCACGGTTAAAACGTTGTATCTCATGAGCTCCAAATAATCGTTCTTGTCTCATTAAAGTTAATTGTTTAAGCCGAGTCCATGCTTCATTTAAGTCCTAAGTACATATATTCAATTTTGTATACAAAAACAACATATAAACATATAAAATATAAACAGGGATATTGTTTACTTACCTCTTTTTTTTTCAAAATTATTTCTCTTTCAGGATGTCCTTCCAAAACTAATTTGGACGCTAAATCATTTACTTCAGTTACACGATATTCTTGTGATGTCATATCTTTTTGAAATTCATCAAATTTACGTTGCAATACTTCCACATGTTCTAGATCGGCACCAAACTCATCAGTAGTGACAAAAGTTTCCTAGACATCATACCAGGTATAATTAATAAAAAAGTTAATCTTGTGTTTTTTTAAATAAACTCAAATTTAGTATTTACCTTATCATTAATCCAAAACATAACCTCATCACATTGTCTTAAAAATTGAACTAAAACCAAAGCTTGCTGTAATTTTACACCCTTTTCAGCCAATTTTGACAAAAGTAAATCCCAATCTTTATGTAATTGCTCTAAAATTATTTGTAATTTATCATTAATTCCTATATACATTAGTATTCTTATAAAAGTATTCAAAATTAGTTGGAGTTATCTATAAGTATTTATAACACATCTATAATATTCCTAATGACAATAATTCATAATGGCTAGGTGAGGCGCTGTCGTACGCTCAATCTGCGGCAACGCACTGAGCGTACGTACCGGCCGCAGTTGCTAGCTCCTGGATGGGTGACCACCCGGGATTTTTAGCAACATATCCTTGCCACATATACACAAACACGTGTTACAACCCTACCAACTCAAGAACCTACAAACAAATATACAAAAATAACTCCTACCGTAACACTCCCACACCCAATGGCCCATGTTGCCGCGGGTTCCCCTCAAAAAAAAATAAAATAATAATTCATAGGTTATGCTACAAAAATACAAGAGATTTCTTATGAATTTAATTGTTTAATATAACATCAAGTGATTCTAATTTGAAAGATGTTTCATACAAAAATATGTCAATACACATATAATTACCAAGTCTTTGACGTATTTCTGATGATGCAAAATGATTTTGATTAATCATTCCCATTCCAGTGTTATCCAAAACTACGATCGCATTACTATGTGCAGCAACTTCAGCTTCAAATGCTTGATGTTTTTGAATTTTAGCCTAAAAAATTAAGTTAGTTACATTTACTGTCAGTATAAAAATAAATTAAGTAATAATAACCTGCAAGTTTGTAGGATCTTTATAACTTTCATCTGATGCAGCTTGTGTTTTTTCAAGTATCCATGATTCAAGTTCATCTGCATCTCTTTTAAAATACTGCAATAACACACAAATTAAAATTTCTCAAAATAATTTTAAAGTTAAGAGTTCAATTTTAAATTACTTGAAATCTTCTGGAATCTTCAAGTTTTTCCCTCTTTAAACGAGCTTCCGCCTTGAATTCGTTATAGCGATCAAGAACTTGAAAACGACGATTTTGGATATCCTCAGCAGATTCAAGGATTTTCACCTCTTTTGGAATCAAGGGATCCATTTTGAAAATATCTTAATGAAAAAATATTGGTATTTAAATTTTATTAAAATAATCTATTTCAAATTTCAAATCAATGAAAACAATAAACAAATTAATGTGATAAGAAATTATTGATATTTATTTAAAGATTTGATAAATATAGTAAATTGTTATGGTTATTTAAAATGGTTATKAATGAAAACTTGTAGAAATTGGGTAAGTTAACCTGTTAATTGATTGTAGTTATTTATTTATTGTTAATTAATATATCTTGTGATAACTGATATCAGATAAAGTGTAGTGTAAAAAGTAATAACACAATATTAATTCTTCAATTAAAATGTATTATGATTTCAATTTTAATTATTTCATCTGTTAATAAGTATAAACAATAATAATATACACAATAAAAAAATAATTTATAACAATAAACTACCTTGATGATAACCTAATTAATTTCAGTATAATTTATTTAAAATAAGTAACCTACTGTCCTACCATCAAAATATTCATTATAATTGAAGTTTTTTGTTTTTAAATATTTGTTACCAGATCAAGAATCCATAGGTAGGTATATTTATTGTATTTATCATAATTAAAATAATTTAGTAATWTAACCGCCAAAAATAACCAAATTTAGATGAACAGTTAATAGTCTTATTTTATTTTATTATCACAAGGTCAAATTTATAAAGCATAATAAAAACRTTGAAACAAAAATACCTAGTTTTTTATTATAACATTAGATGTAGGTATTATCGTTTAGTTTTTATTTTAAATTTTGATAAAAAAAATTCTATCTTAATAATCGTTGTTTTAGCTTGTCTATAATTTTTAATATTGATGATGGATATTTTAATATTTTTAGGTTTTTTTTGGTGCATGTACCTACCAGGTTTGAAAAACAAAAAAATCCTCAGTATTACATCTAGTCTTCTAAAATAATCATCATTACATAATGGGATACGTATAAACTAGATAATTAATGTATAACTATATAAGTCTTACATAATAATACTTGATAATATGTATAAACAATTAATTTGTTGTTTATATTATATTTGATAGATGATTGATTACAGTTAAATACTTTGTCATACAACTTAACAATTAAGTAGAATTCTCAAAGGGTAGGTAACTTTTAGCAAATAAGATGTTAGGTAAGTATGCTAAGTAACAAATTGTTGTAGGTATTAAATTATATATTTGAGAACCTATGATTTTAAAGTCTTATAAAAWGATATTTAGGTACTTACCTAATGAAAAACTAATTCAATTTAACCTTACCTATATTTTGGATCAATGCTAATAAATAAAAAATAAAACACCACTTACTAAGCTCGAAATCTGTAATATTCAATYCCACATAATATAGTCTCTTAAGGACATGATTAGGTTTTAAAAATAGTAACAACTTAACCTCACAGAGTCATGCATTACAAAACTACTACTGATGTCATATTGTTAATTTACAAAAATACAAATCCTATTAACGAAATTAGATGGATTAACCTAACCTACAGTTAGTGGGCAGTAGTAGAAACTATAGAACAAGTACTATATAGAATGATGACTAATAAAGTAATAAACTACCATTAAAAAGATATTAATTGTCTACAAAATAGGAATGTCAATGATATAATTTATTATAGTAGGTACCTATATACATATTATATACGAAGACAATATTGGGGAGTACCTAATAGTAGGTCAAATACGATTTRGACTTCCAGATCGGGACATAAATTACGACCAAGACCCTTGATCGTGCGGATGTCAGAMCCCCAGGCCCATTTAAAATGAAAAATGAGAAAAATTCTCAGTATATATTATAATCACCAAGCTGGGTGTGGCAAGATAAAAAGCGACACGGCTTCAGCGGGATCGATTACGCGAAAGCATAAAACGTCAAATTACCTCGTTCGCTCGGCACCAATTACGAGTATGATTTGGGTTTATTTTTCTTTCATACACGAATTGTCATTTCTCGATAAACGTACGGCCACTTATTGACTTATTGACGCACTGTACGGTTAATTGCCTTATTATAACTGTTGATACGAGCACAAACGCACCAATACAAGAGGAACGAAAAACAACAAACGGATCCCGTTCAATTAACTCGAAACTTCGTCACCGACGGAATTGGATCGATGGACGTTCGGGGTGCCGGAGGGAGGGGGCAGCCGCCGCCCGTCTGACAGGCCCCCCTCCAGAGTTAGAATTACGTTTAATGGTACAGGCCGAGAATATCGCAACCAGTGTTACCGCGTTAGAGACAGGAGTGGCTAAAAAAATAAATGCCCGGCTTGCTAGTTCAAACTTGATAGTGTTATATTTTYGTTTTTTATTGAGTTATTAATTATTAATTATTATTTTGTTTGAGGGTATGTACGTATGTTTTATGTTTCAATAATCAGCTTGTTATTTGAAAATTAGAGGTTCGATAAGAAACGTATTAGTCCCTGCACTTCTGCTGAATATCACGATTTAAATATTCGTACATAATATTGTTATCCTTATAGACTTAATAATTTCCTACAAAATGGCGCGTAATGTGTTTTGTGGTATCGCTTTCACGGCACCGATTGTGTTATTTTTATGTTATCAGAACATAACAATCAACATTATTAACTTTTTTTTTACTAATATTACTAATTATTAATTTAAATATTTTTAGACATTCATATGAATTTTATAGTGAAGATTTTTAAAATATTCCAAATTTAACAAGTGAACAAAATGAGCAATCAAAGTTCAGCGGCTAAAGTAAACCATTGTTTTTATTCTGTATTATGATATATTACAATTAAATACCTACTCAATAATTCATATTATGTTTAGGTCGGTGAGATTTTCAGTGCTGCTGGTACTGCATTCAGTAGATTAGGGGAACTAACATTGACATTGCAACCCACAAATGATACTCCAACACCCAACAGGTATAACATAAAATTATATTATTTGTTTGTATCATTTATGGTGGTTATTTTTGCATTTGATTACTTTAGCAAATGGACTGATGACGATATAGAAATGTTACAAAGTGCTGTAAAGAAATTCACAGATGACCTAGCTATTATCTGCGACCAAATCAAACAGCGAACAGTGTAATTATTTTATATTATTAATCATTAATTACCTAAGGTCTTTCAAAATGTTTTGTTATAATTCAGAGGCTCTTAATGCTAAGGAATATTTTATTAGTTATTAAAAACTCAATGCATTTTTAAATTAACTTTTAATTGTAAATAGTTTTGAATTTATATTAAAATACATACGTAAAATAAATAAATTGATCTTTATTTTCCTGTCTTCCAATTCATTGATTAAACTTTCCAGATCACAAATACATACAACTCTCAAAAGAAAATCCTATGAAAATCGAGCACTCAATCCGGCTGCATTGACAAGAACACCAATGTCTTTAACATCACCAATATCAACAAATATACTTAGTACAAAATGTAACTCTGCTGATGTGACATTAAACATGTTGAATGCACCTCAAGAACATAATTCTGGTTCAGATGATATTCCTAGTGAAAATAACCGACACAGCTTCAATTGTGGTGTTGATATTGAATAGCTAAGATCAAATTCTAAATAAATTTACCTGAAATACCAATAATTGACTTTAATTAAAAAGTTGTGTTATGTTATCAATTACTTGATGGTTACTCATTTAATGGTCTCTTTTTTCTCCATATTAGAAAAATATCTATATTAAGTACTTCCTTTTTATCTTTATTTTTTTATTTTTATATGTTTGTTTTTCATTTTTATTTCCGTTTTTTTTTAATGTATTATCATGACATAAGAACAAAATGAAATACTTAATAAATATTTATTGCATTCCTAAATTAGCAATGATAAGTATTGATTTTTTATTGTACTACAATCCAATATGAAGAATTTAGGTAGGTACTCAATTAAGTTAAATTTTAGTCAAATTATATGAATAAAATGTATATTTGATTTTTTTTTTTTTTTAAATTGATAAAAGTGTATTTATAAATTTGTCTAAAATCTAAATTATTCTAAATGTATGTAATTATAATTTATAATATGTAGTGAAATTATTGTTTATAATGTTAATAAGTTTTTGTTTGTATAATATTATATAATAATTAATAAGTAATTAATAAAATTTAAAACAGTATTTATTTAATTTAATTCTAATGTATTTTAATTTATTTATATAATTGTTTCAATACACCAGGTATTTTCACAATATTATAAAGTTAATTAATTAAGGTTTACAAATAAGTTTACGGATACATTTTAGCTTGATTATGAGTCTAGATAGTCCTCTTCATGAACTTCAACTGCTTCAAGTAAAACATCTTGTGGTAGCCATGGCTTAAGTCTGCGGTTTTTGGTTCTTTTACCAATATTGAAGTGAAGGGCACCTTCTATTGTTTTTAATTTCCAATGAAATTGTTCATTGATCCATGTGGTCAGGTATGGTATTCCAGTGTCATTGTAAAGTTGTGTGTTTCACATGTACCATGGGGCTTTAAGAGCTATTCTGAGAAATTTGTTTTGTATCATTTGTAATTTGTAATTTTTGTTTAGGATGAAGCTGCCTATACTGGGCATCCATATATAATTAATGGTCTAATTATTGATATGTATATTAGAAGTGAGCATTTAATCTAAAGTGTTGAATTGTAATTTATTAGGGGGTACCTATAAAATTTTCAATTGTGTATAGGCTTAGTTTAATTTTTATTTATATGCATTTTCTATGTTAATTTTTTATCAATGTAAACTCCGTGATATTTAATTGATTGATCTTTATTATTCCATAATATAGGCTGATTTTTGATTTTTAATTAAATTGGATTTACCAATCTTAACCCAATTAAGTGCAAGTTTCCATTTTGTAAACCAGTCTGAAATTCGGTCTAAAGAAATTTGTAGATCTGTTATTGAGTTTTCAAGGTTAGGTAAACCTAACCTATCAGAAATATTTAATGAAGTAGTTCGATTCAATTTGATTTGATTTCAAACTTGCCCGATCCATAAATAGATAGTCGTATCGTCTGCTAAGAGAATGATGTTTGTTTGAGGTTACTGAGGAGTGTCAGAAACGATCAAACGCAGATACCTATTAAGTAATATGGAACCAAATTTGAGGCCTTGAAGGGCTTGAAGTCAGATGCATTGTTATTTATTTTGATGGAAAACTGTTTGTTTGATAGATATTATTTTTTTATGTTGAATAGTAATTAAAATTTATAACTTGTAGCTTTATAGGAGACCTCTGTGTCACATTTTATCAAACGCCTTTGAAATATCTATAAAATATCTGGTATTATGGCAGTGCAGAGTACTTTTCAAACCCAAGACTTATTTACTCGGTTATCTGAAAAGTTGTGAGACAGTCGAATGGTTCTATATAAAACCAAATATCCGCGATGTTTAAGTAATCTGAATTTTAAAATATTTTTGATAGTAATAACAAATTAGCAGAGCCGTAGCTAGGCACTGGCAAGAGGACTCTTATCAGATGTACAATTATTATACGAAAAGCGTAATTTTATCTAGTGATAGCCTCAATTCAAGTATTATAATTTAGAAAAAAATATTAAATAAAGGGAAAAAGCGCTTATTTTTTAAAAATAATGAGCATTTTATAGTAGGTAGTAGAAAAAAAATTGGATGAGGAGATTGCAAATTTGGTTTTCTGCCAGAGATAGTACTTGCTACGGTCCTGCTATAATAAGTATTATATATTTATACGAATAAATAAAATTAACAATATAATTCATAAATGTATGCAAAATTGAATTGTTTTTTGGAAAATTACAGACAAAACATATTGTAGACATAATGACATTTGTAATCTAAGTAAATATTTAGATTTACGATGATGGCTACGATTTGCTTGCAGAACGAGCAACACGTTTGGTTTTTKCTTACCGGGTGCCGTACTTATGCGTCGTCTCATTTTCAATAATTTTACTATCATCAAAAATGCTTAACACGCAGACAGGACATTGGTGAATGTTCACATAATATAATTAAGTAGGCAACTCGTGCAACGACTTACCAGTGGTTCTCGTAAACAGCCATGGTCGTAGATGTGCTGATGYAGGTATGCACAAATGCATAATGCAATGACCGAGTTAATCAGTTTATGTAAATTAATTAATAACTCCGTCACGAGTGATAAAATTGCAAGAAGGATAAAAATTACTACATTTAAAAATGACGTACTGTTAWATTGGAAGCTAAAAGCCTAAAAGTTCACATTTAAAAATATCTACCATTTTTAATCCTGTAGTATATTAAACGATGTTAACGAAGCTGCAATACCTATACAAAAAACAACAAAAACGCAATTAGTGTCGTTATTCAAAATGTTTATAAATTTCAACCAATTACTATCTAAGATCGAAACTTTTTAAAACAGTTAAAGACGTGTGAAGAACCAGCAGCCAGCAGGATATGGACAAAAATAATTCTAAGTTTGGTCKATAACAATTTTAACAACACACGAATCAATTCAGAACCATGATACAAAAAGGTAGGCACTAGAAGAAAATAATATTGAATAACATCGATATCAATTAAATAATGAAAAACCATTTTCAATTGTGTTACGAGGTATAAATTATTACTATCAGATCAAGGAATAATAAAATTTAGAATAATACGACCAAAGACGTGGAGTAATTATAATAACTAATATTGTATATATAACCCAAAAACCAAAAATAGCAAATGGATGAATATAATGCTATCAATATTCTTCGTAGGTAGTAGATCTATAACAGCAAGAGATATTATATTGCACAAAATAACTATGCCATCTAATAATAAAAATAGAACTAGGTACCGCGTAAAAATATTTGCGATTATGCGATCATGGGCGTGCYATAACCAAGATAAAGTAAAATTGCACGCAGGTTATATGTATCTAAAACTAGAATGCATATTTCAGCTGAACAATAAGTATGTAGCTTCTAAACACAATATAAAACTGAAGTATCAACCAATAAATGAAATACATAAAAAGATTAAATTCTTCACTCCGATTGAAATTGYAAAAGAAATTGATGCGAATATCAATCCAAAAAAGTCACCTGATTATGAACAAATAAACCCAAAAATACCGAAAGAAGTGTAAAAACAATGGAAAAGAGCTTAGGTTATTTTTTTTTTTTATTAATTGTTTATGGCATCAACTACATGGTTATTAGCCGGCATTACATATTAAATTTACATTAATTACTTACATAATTGCTTTCTACTTATTACTTATAATTAAAGATTTACATTTTAATCTAAGTTAGAATATTTAAATCAGTTGACGCAGTCCTGTTGAGTTGACGAAATTGAGGAGTTTATTGGTCGTCTCGGGAGTGGGTGAATGCGCYTTTCACTGAATTRRTGACATTCTGTTAGTATATGCTTGACTGTGATGATTGTTCCACACGTCAGGCATGGTGGAGGGTCTTCTTTGGCCATGAGATATCCGTGTGTCATGCGCGTGTGGCCTATTCGTAAGCGGACAATAATAACATTGTCTTATTCTGTGATAATAACCTCGTCTCTTCTGGACACCTCAAATGATTTGGGCCATAGTAGTATCGAGGCTTAAGTTATTATATGCTGCCTAAACTTGGAAAACCATCGGAACAAGCATTCTTATTAAGTAGAGTACCAAGTTACTTCTTACATCTATTCTTACAAACCAAACCAATATCGCTTCTTTCGAGCTTATAAAAACTATTCGAAAAATTACTTTTAAAGCGATAAAAACCGTTGATAGATTTAAGATATGTAATAACGCAAAAATAAAAGATATAAAAGTAAAAGGTGAGGGCTAGGTAAAAATATTAAAGGGTTAGTTACGAATAACAAGATTATTAATATTATTGGTTATATGTTGTTATTAATGCTACTATGTTAGGCAAACACAAGGGACTCGAGCCTTAATAAATTCTTAATATTTTTCTAAATAATCGGAATAAACAAACTAAAAATTAAGGGGAAAACGGGAAATTTTACGCACAATCAGTTTTCAACAAAATCGATTTTGGTTTTTGATGTAACTTTAAAACAAATGACAATATATACATGAAATTTCCACCAAATGTTTCTATAAGTATATTCTATCCACCATGACATTTTCAAAAATTTTCGACTTAAGTTGAATTATTCATAGACTCATCAGTATTTGCAATTTTCGATAATTATTAGTTTTTTTTAAATTAATATCGATAAAAATTTATTTGTT